GCATTTTTGGTTTGTTAACCAATGAACGGTTCAAGTTGCAGCCAATCCAAACTTGTGCAGCCACGTTTGACTCACGCAGGAGCCAAAGCAATCTCATGAGACAGCAACCCCGGCAGCTGGTGAGAAGGCAGATGATCAGAAGGAACTGTGGTGGGAAAAGACTTTAGACCTGGCCCTAGCCTAGTTCCTAGACGATGTAGACTCTTACAGTATCTGTGGCCTTGATTGTTTGTTATCCGGTGAACGGTGAATGGCTGCAGAATCCAAACTTGTGCAAGCACGCTTGGCAGGAGCCGGAGCAATCTGACGCAGCAGCTGGTGCCAAAACAGCTGGTGAGAAGGCAGATGTTGAGGAGCTGTGGTGGGAAAAACTTTGGACCCGTAGGCCGGCCCTAGGCTAAATATGTGGTCTCTCAATACCTTACCAAGGCAAACAGCCTTGATTGTATATTTTTTGTTAACCGATGATACTCTGAACGGCTGCAGAAACCAAACCTGTGCTGTGCAACCATGTGCACTCATGCAGGAGCCGGAGCAATCTCATGAAGCAGCAAGCCAGGCAGCTGGTGAGAAGGCAGCTACTGAGAAGCCAGCTGATGAGAAGGAGGTGGGGGGAAAAGACTTTGGACCGGTAGGCCGGCCCTAGACTAATTGTGTGGTCTCTTCATACCAAGCCCTGCAAAATGCAAAACAGCCTCAGCCTTTTGTTATCTGATGAATGGTTGCACTTGCACAATCCAAGATTTTTCAAGATTGTTTGTTTGACTGTCGGACATTGTGACATTGTCCTTTTTCTAGAGAGCAGGACACCCTTGATGCTGCCATGGCAGCGGCAGTGGCTAAAACTATGTCCAAGGACCAAACAAGTGGGTTGGTGAAACGATGGAACAGAGAACAAAGTAGTAAGTAGATGATCAATGATCGATGATCGATGTCATCGATGTGCACAAAAAAACAGGTGTTGGGCCCATCAGGACAAGGAATATATATACATAATAATATATATATATTTTATTAATTTAATATCTTAAATTTATATTGTACTTTTCTAAAACCTCTAAACTCTAAATGATAAATGATTGAAAACACCATTTCCTGATGCCTGTGTCACATGTGCAAACAATGTGACACCAGATGTATGTCATGAGAAGATCCGATGGTAATGGTGCAATGGTGACGGTGATATCACATTTCAATGAGCACAGCAGCTCAGCACACACAAAAGTGTCCTAAAAGAGTGTCCCACAAGAGTCCGTCGTCCCTACCGAACTCACCTGCCCTCCTGGGGCTCCTAGTTGGAGCTCACAGGTGAGTCACTCCGTTGGCCGGGAGTGGGGAACTTGGGGGATAAAGGTCGCCCTGTGTGCAATACATAGGTGTCTTGGGGCCAACTCATTGCGGGAGGGCAATGTATGACATCAGGGCAAATGGGCTAACGCGCCTGATGGGACATGCGACCTCCCCCCAAGTAAGTACGGAAGGCCACCAACAAGAGTGTCCCGCAAGAGTGTCCTACACGAGTGTTCCACAAGAGTTTCCCCTAAGAGTGCCCCACAAGAGTGTCCCACAAGAGTGTCACACTGTGACACCGTTTCTTGGAAACACTTTTGATTGTTCATCAACTTGCAAGTTGCAAGCGGGTCAATATATGAATGTTTTTTTGTCCGGTTCTCATTGGCCATGTGGACATGTTGCATAGCAAGTTGCGAGTCATATTGTGTGTGTTTCTTTGATGTTGCTGAAGAAAATTAATGTGTATTATATAGTATATAGAGATACGTATACAGTCAAACAGATGGGCGATGATGTTTTGACAGGAGATGTGATGGGTGGGTGGACGGAGAAGTGTGGTGGTAAGCCATTGAACCAGTTGAACTACGGTCTGTGGTGAGGGTCCAGAGTGAAAACCAATGTAAACAAAGTAGAGGTGATGTTAGAGGTCCGCGATGCAAAGAACAACAAGAAGTGGTTCCGAGTATGAGACCCCCTATGGTCTTCTATATCTTCAGATTATCAATGGGCCTGCAAGACCCCCTAGTACACAAACATTCTTACTTGAGGTAAAATGTGTTCTTGCAATAACTCCATCGTTAGTAGTAACTAGAAGCCTCATCCATGGAATCATCAACTTCACATTTTTTAACATTTTATCCTGACTTCAGGAGGATGAGGAGAGCAGCTCAAGTGACAGCAGCAGCAGCTCATCAGAGGTGCCTGAGCCATTGCAAAAGAGGGCACGAACCAAAGCTGAGGGGAAAGCGAAGGCCAAAACCAAGGCGAAAGCAAAGCCCAAGGCCAAAGTGAGTACCTCCAAGAGGTCTCAGAGCGGCTCAATCACCGCCGCATTTGCCAAAAAGGCAAAGAAGTGACAGAGTCCTTTTTTCAGGGGTTGCATTCACATGCAGGCCAGGATTGGGACAGTGAAATGATGGAGATGTGTAATATACATATATCTATCTGTGCAAAAACCACCTTTTCAGTACAAACCTGAACTAATAGTTCAAGAGCACAAACAACTGTTTGGGTGTCCCAAGGCCCATGTGTGAAGTTGGGGATTGGAGCAGGGTAAAAACCTTGCCTGAAAACAACCTGTGAGGCCGCGAAATAAGGTTTTTGCGCGTGGGACGTCCCCTGGATTTCCTTTTTCCAACGGTCTCTTCTAATTGTCTTTCAAAAACCAGGTTCCTCAATTTTGGGAGATGATCAGTCAGATGTAGCATTAAAAAAAGGCTTAATCGCAGACCACTTTCTTAATTACAGGCTTCAACCCTATCCTGTGCAAGTCCACACTCTCAGCTTCATGTAGACGGTTGATTAAATGAAAAAGAACACCAGAGGAAGAGAGGTTGCTCAATCAAATACATGAAATGTTGTTTTATGATGTTTTATATTCATCAAGAGTCTACATGATTTCCAGGTCAGGCTTTGTTGAAACCGAGTTATGCTTTGAACCCTTCACGGAGCCCTGACCTTGCTTTTTCCTTATGAGGTCATCCCCCGACAAACGCGCGCCGCGGCGGCTCCGAAAAGAAAGGGTCGGCGAACTTACCACCTGAAGGCTTTGGGTGGGGAAAGGCAAAAAACACCCTCTGAAGGGTTATAGAGGTCTTCCTCTGATGGGATACTAGAGGGTGTGACATGGTGTGACAAAGTGTGACTCTATACGGGTGGGTTATGGTGGATTAAATGAAAGTCGAGCCGCATGCTTGCTTGAGGTTCCCTCCAAGCAAAGCGCAATGCTGCGGCCGGCGCCGACTATCACCTGGGGCGGACATCGCTCTGTATGGATTATTCAAACATGTCGCAACATGTCGAAACGACCAAGTTATACTGATCGTGAAAGATGACGATGGCAATGCAACAACACACATCAAGTTCCACTGCCTCAGTTCTCTCGACTGCATGAGCATCTCGCAGGGGGGATGTGATGGACGTACGGAGACCGCGGATCGCGCATCATCGCCATCTTGAGGGTGTAAAGATGGCCATGGGCAATGGGTATACTATATGTGTGCGGTGAACTGTTCTGATTCATGCAGTGACCTTTGGAAACTCAACTCGTGTTGACATCGGTTCCCAAGCGTCGTTTCGGACGCTTGTTCGATGATCCCAATGCAGATCAGTCACAAATGTAGTAGTCATCTGGTGCACCATTTTGCTGTTCGACCTATACAGCCGAAGACCAGCGCCGTTTCCTTTTTCCCGAAAGGAAGAAGTGTAGCGACACGAAGTCAAAATTGGAAGTCGGATGTGCAAGCAGGATTGACCGGGATGGATGGCTTCATGAGAAACTTCACCTATGTAAATTCACCAAATGTATATTGAATTATATTGATATGATATGTCCCACCACAGGACTAAGTGCCTCTAACTGCCTTGGATGCGTACAAATACTTCCGAACTTCTGCTTCAACTATGACCTACCCTCTCCATCAAAAAGGGCAACCGACTTGGCCTTGTAGACATAGTCGGTGGAATGCAAGCCACCACTGTCGAAGGCCCAAGTCCCGGACATGCCATGCACAGCCTGGAGGTGAGAAAGTGTAAGATGCCCTTGAAATGTACCTCTGCTCACCCCAGTCTTAAGGAACTTGCTTTATAATCAATACATGGCATGTCAAACAAATTTTGTCCAAACAGAAGTCGATTGCTGGTCCTAAGTGTCTTTACGACATAGAATCGCACGTCAACCAACACCCGTGTGGCTTTTTTACACACATGTGCGGCGGCATTTATTTGGTCCTATAAACTCAAATACACTATATCTATTATGTGGGGGCCCTATCTCGTTTACTTCAGTAGGAGGTACTTAAGTAGGAGGTCATGTCACAGTATCTCGTTCCGACTACTTTAGTAGCAGATCACACTGTCTCGTTCAGACTACTTTAGTGTCATCAAGCAAAAGTATCTCGTTTGGGGGCCCTATCTCGCTCACAAGCGAATACTGATGATAGACAAGCAAATATAGCATGCAGTAGACTCCTTTAAAGCCTAAATAAAAGTGGGGGGGTTGCTCACATAACTCACATAGGTCCGTGTAAGAAAATAGGGAACCCCCCGAACTCTCGCCCCTGGCTGGGTCGACTGGTCGAGTCTACTATGGTCTATACTGGTCTATTTCCCGAATCCGGTGGTCGGTCTCCGGCCGTGCACCCGGAGTTTGGAGTCATACAGTAGTCTATTCAGTTCAGTTCATACTTGTAGTAGTCATACTTGTAGATCTTGTAGGGTTGACCTCGGTAGTAGTCTATTCAGTTCATTCTCGGTCCACTGCTCCACCAGGATTCGCTGAAATGGAGCGCTCGCGGCGAGCGAGCCGCGCCTGGCCCCACACGGTGACCGGTAACTTGGCCTCCGCGGTGAGTGGGTTCGGACGCGAAGATGTGGGCACTTCATGTGGATGAAATGAGTCTGGTGCACAGCTAGGTGCGCAGCACAGCTGAGTCATTCGGCAGTTTGATAGTGTTGACACGTGTTAACTATCTAAACAAGTGGGGCACTTCAAGAGCCTTCACCTCTTGTATACATGCGATTTCGCAACCTCTTCCATCGCTTGGGGCGGTTGGAGGCCATCTCGTCGCGGGCTCCACCCGGACCCCCGGGACCCCACCCACCGAGTTGGATTCACCAGACAGATCAGGCCAGATTAGGCCAGCCTTCATCTGCGTCTTTCCACCCACCATCGCCTCAAATGGAAAGCCGAATCGAACAAACTGCTCACTGCTCTCTACTTGAGAGGCGACGCTGGCCCAAAATCCGGAAAGACTCTATTGAGTGGACTCCTCAAGGTCTCTGGGCTCTCCTAAGCATGCTAAGAGGTTGGACATGTTTGAGCCCATCGCGGGCATGCTTTCGACCACAAAAAGCAAAGACGAACTTAAATTGCCCTTTGCAAGATTGTTTGGCGGAAGGACATGGAAGATCTGACCCGGGGTAGCTAGCAATTGGCTAGTCAACTTGAACTTGGTCAACCAATATGATAATATGTTAATTCATGATTTCCCTGCCTATAATGATAGAACATAGTTAAGCAAATTAAATGCATCAGTTTGACTTTGGTAACTCTATATATGTTGGGCAATATTTGTTACCATGTTTCAAATAGTACGTAAGTGTAAGTGTGCTTTCGGATGGGCGCTGTACGGAGATTCATCCGTCGAGGGGCCAAGGTGGCCCCAGCCGCTCCCAGGTCGTTCTTCTCAGCAGCTTCCGGGTTCGTCAGGCCATAGGGCATATCGATCATCCGTGCATTGCCTCACTCATTGATCGGTGAAGAGAAGAGAAAACCAGAAAAGGTATGGAAGAGACAGGTATACGATGGTATATACCCTACGAAAACAACACCTAGAAATTGGTAGGGTGTAAGGAAATACCTGGTGTTATTCATATAATTCGTGTTACTACTAGTAAGGCACTTGTTACTACTAGCTTCTTGTTACTACTAGTAAGGCACTTGTTTACTGTATATCAGTTTGTATCTTCGCTCTTCAGGAGGCACTTGCATTTACCAAACGTCACCGGTACTACCGATGTGCTGATCGGTTTGAACCTGCATGCGCCCCCCGGGTAGACGGTAGACCCAAAAACTCTGCTGGGCGGGTGAACCCTCTGGGCCTTCCCAATCCTGGATCACCCTTCCCCAAGCCGAAGGCAGAAAGAACCACATGCCTTGAAGTGGAATGCTCAATCCCCTCACCTGCACAACGCTCCGAATTCATAGCAGATCTAGCCTTTGGGGGGATCAACCTTCCTGAACGCTAGTGTTCATTTGAAGAAGTCTTAACCTATACTAGGAATGGCCTCCAACCTCATAACGATGGCCTCCAAAATTCATTGAACAATTCCACCCGGCAGTCATTACGTTCATTGATTCCTGAGTCTTCACACAGTCCGAATTCTGCGCGCCACCGCTGGCCCTCGGTCTGAAGACATGACCGCACCAGAAATCACAGACTTAAACACACAACTGATGCATTTGTTCGGGAGATGGCCACCTCGAATTAGGACGTTGAGTACCTTCAGTACCTTCGTGTCATTTTGCGTCGATCCAAGTACGTTGAAGCAAAGTGTTTTGGTTTCGATGTTGTTCCATCAAATCAACCTGACAGCAACAGTAAACTGCTCAAATCAAGCCAAAGGATTCTGGGATGAACCACCGAACGGCCGTTTGAGAGCAGTCTCAGGAGCCGACAAACTTTGTGCCATGCTGGCAGCGTTTCCCACAGCATTTGCTGCATCTTGCAACTGCACAGGGACATCTACTCCAAGAACTGCTGCTATATCCATTCAGCAAATGAATGAATAAATCGAGCAACGATGGCAACTAGTTACACAACAACTTGCTTTACGGCCATCGAGTCTCCTTCATGTTTGATCCAGACAGGGCCTATTATCTGCATGAGAGAATCTTCTTGTAGCATTCGTCTATCTGAACATCGTGCATCGTTCCATCGCTTCCACTGTCCACCGATCGGCGATGGACACGGATCACCATCGCGGACCAGACCGGCGTCATCCAAGCACCGAAACGGACGGAGTTGGAGCCCATCTATATAAGCATAGAAGCTACGTTCGTAACAAGGGCATCGCTACTAACAAGGGCATTACTACTACTGGCTGGAAGCTACTAGCAACAAGGGTTACTTAATTACTGTAACTATATGTAGACTGTATAGATGGTCTATCAACATGTCATCCTTGAGAGCCTTGTAGTGGGCATCCACATGGATTGCTTTCTGCAGTGAGACTCAATTGGACCATCGACCGCTCGGGGCAGCTGGGCTTTTCCCTGTCTCAGTTCGGCTTCCATCGACCCCCCACCTCCACGCACCCATACCTGCCTTGTTGAGTGTCCCTAAAGCTCCACCAGGACTGCTTGGTGGGGGCCTGCCCCAACAAGCCACTGGGAAGGAAGGAAATCACACCTCGTATACCTGGTCCCTGGATGAGCAACAATTGTGCGATGTGTGGCAAATCTTCAACCAGGTTCACGTGGTTTGCAGGAACTCTTCCGATGGTGATTGGCAACGGAGAATTCCCCTCCAGGATGATAGTCTGTGGATGGTGGGTAATTGGGGCACAGTCAGGAGGCTGCAGGTGTCGGTGGTCGATGGGTGGTTGAATTCATAGTTTGCATCTGCTTCCCTTTCTTTGAATCAACTGCCAACACCTTCAGTCTCTCAAAATGTGGCCAAAGTGATACAGGAAGAACATTGAAGAAAAGAAGATCCCATTCAAAACATCAAATGTCTATGTCAACTTGGCCACTATAGCTATAAATTATACTAGTGTATATTTCCAGTTTTAGCTCAAAAAACGGGTCCCTCTCCACCGACTCCAACAAACAACGCACAACGAACACGTCCAACCGAGCCGGCCGGCCGCGGTGCACTGCGGTGCGTTGACCGCGCCGCGCCTTTCCACTGGAAGTTCACAAGCACCTACGACGAGCTCGAAGCGAGAAAAACGACGGAGGCTGACTCGGTGGGTCGAGGGCGTGGCCATTTCTCCCGGGGCTTTTGGATGTTGATTTCGCATGAATATCGGGGTTGGAATTAAGTGGGTACCCTGGGGTAGTGCTGAAATTCCATCCCCTATGCATTAATAAATTAAAAGTGGACAACACGACTTGACGAAACACCACTTGCCGAGGACGACTGGTCTGTGGATTCTATGATGATCTGTGCTGCGTCTTTTCCACTGTTTTGATCAAGGACGCCGGGCCAGTATATCGAATTCACACGATTCTGTGTTTCGCATGTCATTCTGGACCTTCAGCCTGGCCAACCTCTGGACTCTTTGGACTCGGGGATCGACATCGGAGCGGCTCTCCCGACCCTTCGGTTCCACGAAGGACAAGGGATCCTTCACGTCCGGCGTCCAACCCACCTGGGGCGCAGGCGGTCCGGCCCAGATCCGTTCTCGGACGCGGGAGTTGGGGTGGTGCCCGCAGGTGTGAGACGAGCCAGGATGTTCTTGTTGTTGAACCGTCTGAGACGTGAATTACTGAAGCCAGTCGAGGCGTCGGTTCACGCATACCGGACATTCCAAGCTGTTTCGCACAGGAATGGACAGCTATTTTGATGTTTTCTGGTCGGTCGTCTGGTGAACATATGCTGGTGAGTTGCTTGGTGCACCGTAGCCATTCAATGCTCAACAGTCCAAATAGCGTCCCATTGTATAAAAGGAACAAACATGACCTGTGAACAGCAGGAAAAGAATGAAGGCATAATATATAAAGACATGTGAACATGGTTCAAAGGGTCCTTGTCCAGCCTCGGTTGCGGTGGGGTTGTAGCCACATGTTCTGAAGAAACTTCCTCACATGCCATTTCTCGAAATGCTTGCAGGCTTCAAGTCCCAGTTTATGAGGTCCACAATGCCACGCATTGCTGACTGCTTACTACTTAGTACTTCCAAGAGGGAGTCTTGTCTTTATCGTTCTTTCATCGAAAAGCACTCCAAAAAACCGAGTACACGCTGCTACCATCACAATCACAAGTCAAAGCTGCTACCATCAAACAGGCGCTATCAAACTGTCTGGAGTCCACTTCTTCCTTAGCCTTGGAGGCGGGCTGCCCCGACGTTCCGCACCTTGGGTACGTGGGCACAGGTGGCATGAACCTCGTTGCCTCGGTGCTGAAGCAGCGGAAGCAGCGGCGGGCCCAAAGGGGGGAAGCACCGGTTTTGCAGCTTCAAAGGGTTCAACCCATGGGGTTCAACCAATGAGGTGAACATAGGCCTTCCAAGTTTTTGCACTGCACCCCTAAGCAATGACTCATGACTCTCATGACCGAACGTCCTGAGATTTTCATGGCCAAACGCACTTTTGGTGTCCCAGCAGTGACAGGTGAGGATGTTCACGAGTTTCCATGTGCATCGTTCGGAGGGTCAATTGACTGGAGTCATGAATCATCACGAGTCTTTCGACAGCCACCCACGCAGGTCTGATTTTCACCCATTCAGCAAGTCTCATCAAGTCTCAGGCTTTTGGGCCTCGTCAAAGGGGCCCAGGGGGTCAAAGCCGTCACCGGAAACTAACCGGCTGGACCAACGTGAGTGAGTTTAGCGGCGGGGTGTCCTGCCCAATGGTTGTTGATGGCTTATCTGAGCGGCTACTTGAATACGCAAAGCTTCTCCATGTCTTGTAAACCTGGGTCATATACCTCGCCCTTGCGCTAATCTCTAGAGAAACCGCCGGACGGCTAAATCTACCTGTCACCGACCCTCCCAGTCACTAGTGCCCTTCGTTTGGAGCATCCTCCCATTTCATCCAATGTTGCAACTCTCTTCCTCTGGATCTCGACAAGGCAATCCGGTCAACGGATCCGGCCAAAGCCGCGGCCTGGAGGGTACACCGATGGACGCTGACCATGTGTTGCATAGATCCACTTCAAAGGAACTCTTTTCCTTTTTATAACCTGCTCCCCCCTACTTAATTATATAAGTAGACAGTAGGCACCTACTTGATGAAGTAAGGGAGAAGCTTGTAGCTTAAGTAGCTACTACCTAGGATGCATGAGGGCGGGGGGAGCTTCCTTGAAGAAGCGCTCGCACTATTGATTTTTTTCCGTAGACTTTTAGGAGACTTAACTTAACTCCTTCTTCTCCTTCAATTATGTTCAATTTCGAGTTGCTCAAATCTGCATGAATCTGTCGGGCCTGTCTTTGCCTTGTGGGTGCTGGGTAGTTGTCAGTTTTGATCGAGTTTTCTTAAATGCCGTTGTCGTCGACAAACTGAGCACCCTGCTCAGCCAGTCATGCATGAGTGAACAGCAGGTTGAGCGACTCGCTGAAGGCTACTGAAAGACATGTCTTCCACAGAAGTAATCCCCTGGAAACAACAATACTCTGACTCTGACCACTGTTTTGATATGTTTTGATCATGTTTGATCCCAATCTTAGGATATCTGTCTTGCTTGGAGGGGTCGTGGGGGAGACAAAAAGGACGTTAACGAGATCAACCAAGATTTTGGAGACCCCCCTCTGGTAGCGCAAAGACATACATGATCCGGGTCACCCCCTTTGCCCTAATGGTCATCCCCATGGCAAATTCCAGAAATCAGGAGCAAAACATCTCAGCAAAGCACAGTCTTATCAAAATTCAATCAACAAAAAGGAACATCGAGGTATGGAGGAGAGGTGTATGGAGGTATATGCAGGTATGGATGTGTCAACGGATTGACTCCCGGGCTCGTGCTCGGACTTTTCTTCTGTATCCAGGACTCGTCACACTTGTCGGTCGATGCCACTGACCGGTCGAGACGCCTGGTACACCGGAGGAAAGAGCTTTCGTGCCGGAAGGGCATCGGCGCTCCTGAGGGTCTTCCATCAACATGAGGGGAGTTGCTGTGCTGTGATTCTTTTGGCAACAAGTCTGGAATGCCCTGTTGGAAGAGGACAAGGTATGCAACGAGATCTTACATCTCAGGACACCTGGCTACACCATCTAGGTCCTAGGTAGTTCTCATCCAGCAACAACTGCTGGAACTTAGCGTGTTTCCGAATCCCCCACCCAGCAGCAGTCGATTGGCAAACAAATTGTATATATAATATCATCACTTTTTGGGGACCGTGATTGGGTGGGGGGGGAAGGAACTCATCTGCTATAAACACAAAAGGAACTGTTAGCAGGAAGCATCCAAAAATCTTCTAAAAAGACCAGCGTTGAAGGGGTTTTACCATTGACATCGTCGGGGCGATCATGAGATCTTATTCATCAGAGGTGGCCGAGCCTTTGGGGATATCTATATATAGACAGTATATAGTCATCATCTAGCAAATAGAAGCACTACGACCATATTTCACTTGCTCTGTTGACGTGTTTCTTATGACAGCCGGTTGGTTCATGTTCTATTCCTGTCGTTCACCCAAATTAATCAAACAAAACAATATATATATATATACTATATTATCAGTGTGATACTGGTAGCCCAAACAACAGGTGGATGCGGACCACCACCGACAAAGCAAGCAAAACAGGTCGAAGTCGAAGAAGGCTCTAGTAGCACTCTTTTCCACGGTCCAAGCGCCGATCAGCGCTCGAAGGTCGTCGAGCAAGTGGCACCACCTATGGCGCCCAGTGCAAAACACGTAGCGGGTCGCCTTGAAAAAGGCGTCAGGCAAAAGGGTCCCCTAAATGGCGGCGGACATGCATCGGCGGCGAATCATGCTTCAAGTGGTCATGAAAACAATGCTGAAAGTGAACTGAATCACATGGGCGAAAGGTTTTCGCCTTAGATGCATTCCACCGCTGCATCATGGAGGACCAGGTCTCATCTTCGATGAGCTCAGGGTCAAATTCCGGTTGGCTCTCAGGCAGCTGCCGCTTCTTCTTCTTGGCGGCAACAAAGCCAGGGTCGTACTTCACGTTCCACAGCTGACCTTTGGCCATGAACATCCTCATCAAATCGGCCGCGCTGGCCTTGGTGAGGCCGTCAGCTAGTTGGGCATCTGAACTGACCCAAAGCAGGTTGGTCTTCTGCTTGGTCATGTTCTCGCGAACTGCGAGAAGCTCGAGCGCGGAGTACTTCTCCTTCATGGAGAAGGCTGCACTTGCTCCATCACCTTGGTGAAAGGCATCGAAGGCGCTCTTGGCGTCGATGACAGCTGCTGCGCTCACCTTGGTGGTCGTGAGCTCGGGGTGCAACAGGTTCATCTCATGGCCAAGGAGCTCAGCCCACAAAGCTCTGCAAAACATGAGCTCTTGCTCACCTTCTCCTAGAGCTTGAAGCTCTGCTGCCAAGGAGCTGCGCGCCGTGCGGTGCAGTTTGCCGCTGCGCCAGGCCACCAGGTTGACTGGTGATCTTTCACCATCCAAGATCCTTTTGTGGCAGAGACCCACCACATAGCCACCTGTCGAGGCCAAATCTGGCCTGTTGGCCACAGCTGCATCTGTCCAGACGATCATCGTCAGGTCGTCGTCTGACATGGCGTCGAGCTGCTGAACTTTCACCGACAAATCTCTTTGCGAGTAAACCTCGCGTACCAGTTTGTTGATCTGGTGGAGCACATCCTTGGAATGCCGGCTGTGAGGCAGCATGGACTGCAGCAAGGAAAGGCGGGCAGCATGATGAGGTGCTGTCTGACTGACACGCCACTGAATCGAGCCAAGGACGGCCCGAGCTTGTGAGAGCTCTTGAGGCGTCACCTCAGTGGTGGACTTGTCCAAGTCAATCTGCTTGATCTGGGAGGCATACTGGGAGTGGTCCAGGTGGAAACTGTAGTTGCTCTGTTGATGGATTTCCACTCCACAATGCAGATAAGGATCTGGTTCCCAGGGACTCCAGTTCAAAGCTTGATGAAACTTCTGTAGCGTTTCATGCCACAAAGCATTGTCTTCGTTGCCTGTGACAATGAAGTCGTCAACATGACTGGCAACGGCGCCCTGGACTTTGCCATGTTCATCTTTGCACACCCACAGGCATGGCTCGCAAACCAGTCGATGCATGCCACAGGTGGTCGTCGCAATCTTGTCGACATCACGATACCACTCCCGGGGTGCTGAAACAAGGCCGTAGGCAGCTCGCAAAAGGCGGACGGTGTCCTTGGGGCCACAATTCATCTTGTCACCAAGCTCCTTCACAGGGAGCGCAAACACTCCTCGGCTCCGTTGTGATTCGGAGCCCTGGAGAAAAGCAGCTTTGGCGTCAGCCTTGATGGTGCGCCAATGGCGATGACATGCCAGGTTCAGCAACAGCATCTTGCTGCGTCTTGAAAGAGTTGGCGCAGCTTTGTCCAGGAACTCTTGGTCGGGGTCAGAGAAGCCCAAGATGACAATGCGGGCTTTCGCTTTGACACGGTTGGGCTGATTTGGATCGTCCACGGCCTTAAACACTAAGACCCACCTCATTTTCATGAGCCTGGACTTGGGCACTGATGCTCCAGCCTTTTCGCAAACTCGATTGGCGAGCCAGGAATCCACCTCTAACATCTTTGCCTCCAGCATAGCTTGCCTCTGGACGGGATTCAGCTTGTGCCAAGCCACTTCGCAGCCCTTCTTGACTGCCTTGGAGGTAAATTTCTTTGGCTCCTTCAAGATCTGCCTCCACTCATCTTCATTGGCCGGTGCATCAATGGTCACCGACAGGATGAAGTCATTCTCCATGTTGGAGCACCAGCCAATCAGGTCAGGGTCCTGGTACTTCTTCGGGAACTTGGCATGGTGTGGTCTATCCTCCATCTCATGTCGCTTCCTCTGATGCTGGAAGCTCTTTTCGGCAGAAGCTCTGCTTTCTTCCATGGGAGCGTCAGGAGGTTCTATAGGATGAAGTGGCATGTAGGAGGGGTCGTTCAGCAAGCGATCGATGTCCAGCTCATCTGAATCATCGGGGTGCATTCCTTCTTTCAAAGTTGGATCCATGTGCACCTCCGAGTCAGGAAGAAGTTCTTCAGACGAAGAGCTGACAAGATCATCAGGACCTTCCTCTTCTCTTACAATTTTCAGCCTCTTGCCATCTTGGTGAGATGGGCGAAAGGTTTGTCTCCTTTTGGCTTCAAATCGCTCAGCCCTCGAAGTTGTGAGGTCCTCAAAGGCGCCCTTGTGGAGTGAAGTGCTCATCATCGTGAAGGTCCATGGCATGGCCATCGTGCCAGAGGAGTTGGCAATCAGCAACTCTCGTTCACTGCCATGCCGAATCTGGTCGATGTGAGCCTTAAGCAAGCGTCCACAGCTTACCAACCAAATAACGCTTGAGGGCATTCGAGAAGTGCTGGAACTGTCCACCCTTGTCTCACAGGCCAAGACTCTAGCAGGCCCATACCAGCGAGCAATCCGCATGCGGGGCATGTCCACATCCTCGTTGGCAGGAGCACGTCGAGGAACCTTATGGCGCTGGTAGTAGACAACATCTCCAGGCAAGAACTGTCGGGCAGGCTTGGAGCGGCTGTTCTTCGCTCGCGAAATGCGAGCATCAGCACTGAGCTTGTTGTGAAGATGTTCTGCTTCAATTCGGAGCCTCAGACTTTCAGCCATAGCGTGTCCAGGTGTTCCTTCGGAGCATGCCACTGCAGGATTCACTGACACGCTCTCCGATCGCCCAAATGCCCATTGCGCAGGAGCAAAACCACCCACGCGAACCACATGGTTGTGAGCTTGGACCATCGCACTTGCAGCACGTCGAGGTTCAATGGGCTCGTTCCGGAGAAAGGTTTCCATCTTCCAGCGAAGCTCTCCAATGGCTTTCTCAACAGCTCCCGTGGCGGCATGATGTTCAGCAGGAACATGAGTCATCTCAATGCCACGCTCGGAGCACCACATTGCGAGAGCTGTGCCGCGAAATGCCCCTTCAGCATCACATCTAATGCGTGCCGGGTAGCCGAAGATTTGACACCAAGATTCCTCCAGAGCAGTGATGACCTCTGGGGTTGAGATGTTCTCAGATTCATCTTCGTGGTGAACCTTGATCTCTCTCACCACGGCAAAGGAGCTAGCCTCATCGAGCAGGAGGAGGAAGTGATGCACCTGCTTAGCATGCCTGAAGTAGAAGGCGTCCATTTGAAGTGTCTTCCAAATGGTATCCTCTCGCTCCAAAGACACCTTGGTGGCAGGCGTTGCCGTTCTGCTCTCTTGACATTCAGGGCAAGCCAACTGTAGAGCTGCGGCTTTGAGTTCTTCACTGGCTCCTCTTGCACGTAGGAGCTTCAGCAAGGCACGGTTGTTTGGATGGCCGCAGAGACGATGAAGCTTGCGCACTGTCTCCATGAGATGTTGTAGTTCCTGAGGTGTGAGCTTCTCCAACACCTGGGGATCAGGCTCAACTTCAACAATCCCTCCAATGAGCTCGGAGGGTTCCAGCATGCCTTTGACCGCAATGTGGCACAACTGCTTGGTGTAGTAGGCGGAGGCCCGAGCACGTTGTCCAAGGCAAGGGACGTGGTGGTGCGAACCATCACAAAGTCTTGCCAAACCAGCCAAAGCTCGTGCCCTTGTGGTCATAAACCTCCATGGCTTCTTCACAGGGCCATCTGGAGACGTGAGGCCAAACATACAGCCATCGCCAAGCACTTCGTGAGCACGGTCACATTGATGAAGAGCTTCCCAAAATGCAGCCACTTCAGGAAGTTGCCATGCCTTGTTGAATCTTGGCCATTCCCAGGCGATCTCGCCATCCATGGAGAGGTGTTCTTGTAGACACCTCGTAGAACTTTTCTCGCATGCCTTTTCCGGTAGGCACTCTTGACTTTTCCTTCGGGAGTGCGTTCATTGAGAGCTTGAACTGCCGAGGTAGGGCCACAAGGAAAGCTGACCCAAATCCAACGTGGTCGATGTTGGCGAAGTAGTGCCAAAGTTCGCTCAACTCCCTCAGGCTTTGTCAG